ATGTTGTTCTGGGCCTACCCCTGCCTCGTTTGCCTTCAATTTTGCCAGTGAGAGCTAGATGTTCAAGACCTTTATGTCTATTTAGGTGTCCCAAAATCTGCATTTGTCGTTTCCAGATTATTTTTAACATTGAGCGTCCCACGTTTCCACAGACAGCAAATTCGACTGGCAGGTCCACACTTTTCTCCTGGATTTAAAAGTGAACAATTTTTGGTTCTTTTGAGGAAGCTAATGCACTTCAAAGTTGATAAACCATTGCGGTCCATATTCTATCATCCTACCAGAGAAGTTTTAAAAAATTAATAGAAGTTTTACGGCGCTCACAACTGCATATGAGCGCCATGTTGTGGATGTCAATAGAGAAGTCCTTACAGGGAATCAGACTTACTCTGCTCCCCTCTCTACCCTCAACAGCACAAAGTCTGCTTCGACTATCAAGGCACCCCAGAAATAGCGGGTCACAAGAGAGTGACAAACATACAAAAGAAGTAGAGGCAGATGACAATAGCAAGGATCAGGAAAGAAAAAGCAGCAGTTCCCTGTTGTAGATCAGGCACAGTTATGAGCATGACAGGAGTCAGTTACAATTCTACTATGCTTGAACGAGAAATGTCCCCCTTTGGGAATGGCCTAAAGACACTACAGTCAGTGGCACTGCCCCGGGGGGTAATAAAACACAACACATTATAATAAGATAAAGGAAAACTGAATCGATTAATACGGAAAGCTTCCAAAAATCCCTAGGCATTTAGACGAGGAATGTTATTTAAAAAACCAAAAACAATAACAACAAACAGGCCAAGACGTATCTTGAAAAACAAAAGAAAAACTGGTAGAGGCAGCGTGAAGAAGACCTGTATGAAATAAACCAAGGCGTCTAGAAGACAAATAATAATATTAGGAAAATAGGCCCAGTCATTTTGATGAAGAATATAAAAGTGGGTGGTTGGCGGGTGCTCTGGTGTGGTTTGCTTCTTCTTTCCTATCAAACATCTATCGTCCTTATCTCCCCTCCTTCTTTTTTATGTTTGTTACTCTCTTGTAACACCCATAATCTTCTGGCTCTCATATGACCTTGTGCTGTAGCGAGCGCCGTAAAACCTCTACTAAAACAAACAAACAAAAGAATATAACAGCAGGGATAGCTAGCTTGGAGAAGAATAAAAACAAGACGTAGGGAACTTGGAGCAGAACAGTGAGAGACAAATCCTCAATAGCTTGGCGAACAATCAAGAACAGATTGTGGCAGTTTGTTTATGAACTCTACACGAACAAACAGCTCTGACGACGACCTAATATTAGGACGAAACTTTGATGTTTTGAAAACGGCTTTTGTTTCCTCGTTTAGAATTTAGATGATTAACTTTACTTACTTTACTTTACTTTTCCGATCCAGCGGCCATCTGGGTTCTAGCTCTTCGGCCTGTCAATATGGCAAAGAATTTACAGGTTACTTTTATCAGCTGTTTTTTATTTAGGTGATTTGGATCACGGGCTGTGTCCTTGAGCAAGACACGATAACCCTTGCTCAAAATACAGGGCGCTGCACAGTGGCGATCGACAGTGGCATGGTTGTAAACTGTTCTATATTTGTGTAATATTGTGAATTTATGCATTTATGAATGTATTTATGCACGTATTTATGTATGTACGTATTTATAAATATGTATTTACGTGTGCATATGTATGTTCGCCATTGTAGACCAAAGTGCCCTTCTGGGACGAATAAAAGTGTGATTTATTTATTATTTATTTTATTTATTATTTTAGGAGGTGAGGGGGGGGGGGGGGGGGGGGCTCTCGTGGCCTAGAGGTTAAGGTGTTGACCTCTCATTCAAAGATCCCGGGTTCAATTCCGGGTAGCGACCAAAACATTTTCTTCTCTAAAATTGTCTCCTTTCACATCCTTTCCTGATCTCTAACAATGTTCTGTTGTCTGCTTTCATTTCCACTTTCTGCCCCCACCCCCTCACCTCCTTTGCCCCCTCCTCTGGGCTCCTGACTCTTTCTGCAGGCTTTCTACTGCTACTCCTTGGCTCCTCCTAAATGCTGTCTTTCTGCCACACCCCTGATCTTCTGGTAGGAAAGATCTACACCTAGCCTTCTCGGACAAGGGCGAAAAATATCGGAGGGCCCGTGTGCAAGTTGCGCACGTTAAAGATCCATTGGTGGTCTAAAATCGATAAGAGTAGGCTTCAGCTGCCACCCGGGCAAAATTCAAAATTTCCTACAAACGAAAAAGTATTAGGTGTGTCCCGCGCGCTCATATGACCTTTTGCAGTTGCGAGCGCCGTAAAACAGGGCTCGCAGCTGCATAAGGTCATATGAGCACCAAGGGGTGGGTGCCAACAGACAAGTCTTTACAGGGAATCAGACTTAGTCTGCTCACCTCTCTAGCTTCAACAGCACAAGATCTGCTTCGACTATCAAGGCACCCCAGAAATAACGGGTCACAAGGGAGGACAAACATACAGAAGAAGTAGAGGAAAATGACAATAGTAAGGATCAGAAAAAAGCAGCAGTTCCCTGTTGTAGATCAAGCACAGTTATGAGCGTGACATGAGTCAGCCCATTTACAATTCTACTATGCTTGAACGAGAAATGTCCCCCCTTTGGGAATGGCCTAAAGACACTTCAGTCAGTGGCACTGCCCCGGGGGGTAATAAAACATTCTACTTTCAGACTTGCAATAAAGACAACATAATATAATGACAGTTGAAGAATGGCAGATAGAATAACAAACCTTGGAGGTCCCCCCAGGGCCGTGCTACTGACTGAAGCATCTTTAGCTCATTCCCAAAGCGGAGACATCAACATGCTCTAATGCACTGTAGAAAAACAATAATTGTAAATGGGCTGATTCATCAATATCATGCTCATACTGAGCGGAACTACACAGGGGGAACTCCTTCATTTTCTTTCCTCATCCTTACTATCGTCATTTCCCTCAGCTTCTTTTGTATGTTTGTCACTCCCTTGTGAACTGCTATTTCTGGGGTGCATTGATAGTTGAAGCAGACTTTGCGCTGTTGAGGCAATAGAGGTGAGCAGAGTAAGCCATGATTCCCCGTTTTTGGACCTCTCTGTTGACATCCATCCCTTGGCGCTCATATGACCTTATGATCTTGCGAGCGCTTGGGAATAGCCTTATGTATGTAGTATAATGTTTTACGGCGCTCGCAATAGCCTTAAGGCAACTTCAGTCAGTAGCACTGCCCTGGTTGGGGTGTGCGATCCAGGCCTGGTCATTGTCACTTCTGGCGGCCGTGTCCACTGATGGTGGACTCTCGTGACACAGGATACTTTGTTAGCTGGAAGAATAATTAATCAATCCAAGTCACATAAAAACAAACAAACAAAATCATCAAACAAATAAACAAACAAGCAAGCAAGCAAACAAACAAACAAATAAGCCAACAAACAATAAACATACAAACAAATAAACAAAAAACAAACAAGCATACAAACAAATAAACAAAAAACAAACAAGCATACAAACAAATAAACAAAAAAACCTCCCAAATAAACAAACAAACAAATAAACTAACAAAAAAGTATGCAAACAAAGAAACAAATAAACGAATAAACAATCACACAAAAACAACAACAATGCACTAAAAGAGAAACAAAAAAAAACTTGAAGAAAATACAACCTGAGCGTCAAGGGTTTTCCAAATGACCAAAGCTGTGAAGATCGGAATGACATTCGAAAAAAGGCCAAAGGGTTTCGTGGCCTAGAGGTTAAGATGTTCGCCTTTCATTCAAAGATTCCTGGTTCGAATCCGAGTACCGACTGAAAAACTTTCTTCTCTGAGATTGTCTCCTTTCACCCCCTTTCCTGATCTCTAACAATGTACTGTCGTCTGCTTTCGTCTCCACTTTCTGCCCCACCCCCTCACCTCCTTTTCCCCTCCCCTGGGCTCCTGACTCTTTCTACAGACTTTCTACTGCTACTCCTTGGCTCCTTCTTACTGATGTCTTTCAGCCACACCCCTGATCTTCTGGTAGGAAAAATCTGCACCTAGCCTTCTCGGACAAGGGCGAAAAATCTCGGAGGTCATGTGTCCAAGTTGCGCACGTTAAACATCCCTTGGTGGTCTAAAATCGATAAGAGTAGGCTTTGACCGCCACCCTGGCAAAGTTCAGAATGTCCTACCAACTGAAAATGTTTAGTGTGTCTCGCGCACTCATATGATCTTATGTAGTTGCGAGCGCCGTAAAACACTCACCAAAAAAAAAAAAACCGTCGGAGAAACAATGGGAAGATAACCAGAAACTGAGAAAGAACCTACTAACCAAGGGATACCAGAATTCTACAAAATAACATATCAAACCAAACCCAGAGGGAATGCGAGTTTCTCCTTAGTCAGCAAAAATGCGGAAAAGACGTAGGAAGCAGCCAGATCTATCACTCTATCACTGCAAAGCTGTAGCCTAGATAAACAAGCTAGGACCGATTGGTAGTAACTTGCTGAAAGTGAAAATTTTTTTTGGGAAAGATAAAACTGTCTGTGCAATGATGTGGGTATACTTTCTCCGCGCCACAGTACAATAAGTTATCGTTATAGAAATAGGAAATAATATGTAAATTTGCTTGACTCTAATACAAAATTCGATGTTCTTGTTTGGGTTTTGTTTTGATTTTTGATGGATTCTTTAAAAATATAAAGCTTTTGGTAGTGATGATGATGGTACAGATTGGCTCGTGACCATTGATCCTTGTCGGGGTTGTTCACCGTTCCACTTACGTTTTCAGCGCACAGTTGCAGCTGTTGCTTTCACAAACATTTCAACTTGTCCTGATCAATGAGCAATGCCCCGACTGTAGATGAAAATTCTCATTTTTATATAAAGTGAAATCTTTTGGACAGTTGAGACACAGGCTTTAGTTCTGCTATTGACATATAGATTTTACCAAAAGGAGTTTAGCTTTGAAAGAGAAATAGATCAATTCGTAAGCCTTTGATAAGCAAATGCACAAAAAACTCCAAGTGACGGGGATGAGAAACGCCCTATGCAAATACGATACCTCCGCTTGTGTAAGTCCCCGGCCGATCCTTGTGGGCGGGAGGCTGGACATTCAAGTATTTGGGACGTACATATTTATCTCCTCCTCTTTCTCCCCCTCCTCCTTCCCCTTCTCTTCCTCCTCCTCCTCCTCCTCCTCTTCCTCCTCCTACTTGTCCCCGTCCTCCTCCAACTATTTTTCCCGTATTTTCTGCAACAACAGAGGCAAACTGAACGATTGATCACAATATCACATTTGCACTTTTAGTCGCTTCTGAAACAGCGGCTTAAAGTTGAAAAATAACATGGGTGTTTTTGTATTTCCTCAGCATAATTTAGATAATTATTTAGTAGGCGGTTTTCGACCTAGCAGAAAATGATACAGTATCCGAGCAGAAAGACTGAGATTTTCGATCGATAGACATCATCCTCACACAGGATTTGAACTTGGGTCTTCCGCATGCGACGGTGAAACACAGGGTGGTTGGCGGGTGCTCGGGTGTGGCTTGCTTCTTGTTTCCTATCAAACATCTATCGTCTGTATCTCTCCTCCTTCTTTTTTGTGTTTGTTACTCTCTTGTAACACCTCTAATCTTCGGCACTTATACGACCTAATTGTGTTGCTAGTGCCGTAAAACGCTTCCTAAAACGAAACACCTAACCGCTACACCATAGACGCTGGTATACGTTGGCTAATGACGTCAGTGATGCTTGTGGTAGTTATGATGATGACGTCAGTGATGCTTATGGTAGTTATGAAGATGACGTCAGTGATGCTGGTGGTAGTTATGATGATGACGTCAGTGATGCTGGTGGTAGTTATGATGATGACGTCACTGATGATGGTGGTAGTTATGATGATGACGTCAGTGATGCTGGTGGTAGTTATGATGATGACGTCAGTGATGCTGGTGGTAGTTATGATGATGACGTCAGTGATGCTGGTGGTAGTTATGATGATGACGTCAGTGATGCTGGTGGTAGTTATGATGATGACGTCAGTGATGCTGGTGGTAGTTATGATGATGACGTCAGTGATGCTGGTGGTAGTTATGATGATGACGTCAGTGATGCTGGTGGTAGTTATGATGATGACGTCACTGATGGTGGTGGTAGTTATGATGATGACGTCACTGATGATGGTGGTAGTTATGATGATGACGTCACTGATGGTGGTGGTAGTTATGATGATGACGTCAGTGATGCTGGTGGTAGTTATGATGATGACGTCAGTGATGCTGGTGGTAGTTATGATGATGACGTCACTGATGGTGGTGGTAGTTATGATGATGACGGCAACGATAATGCTTTCGTCCTTCATCCTTTTTGCCTGTACCCAAACTAACCCCCCCCCCCCCCTCCACGCACACACACACACACACACACACACACACACACACAAACACACACACACACACAAACACACACACACACACAAACACACACACACACACACACACACACATACACACACACGCACGCGCGCGCGCTCAGACATTCACCTATATCCTTTCAAAATAGGAAAATAGGTACGAGTAAAAGGACGTTTCTCTTTCCGACTCGTAGCAGAAAAGTAAAGTATAGTCCCTCATTGAGACTGCTTGAGCTAGTGCGCAGATCCAGGTTTGCCGTGTGAGGTCACAGAGGGGTTGCACTTATGTCTTAAAGACATCTTTCACATATTTTGCACCTTGGAAACACATTAATTGTCACTTTTCCCATAAAACTACGACAGCTACAGAGGTTAAAATTGGCAAGTACCTGCAAAAAGATAGATAGATCTAGGTCCCCATGACGGAGCCCCATTTTTGATTTATTCATTTCCAGAATTTAGAAAAACATATTTGACAAACAGTTCCCGTCCTTCTTTGGCCTTTGTGATTATTCCAATGAAAAACGAAACAAATCTGTGTAGCTGCCCTTCAAAGCGGAAGTGCTGGAAGTGATATTACTCGGGGCGCATTTTGTTTTAGGAATATAGATCAGATCTAGACCTTTTAATTTTTTTGCATCTCTCAAGATTTATAGCCCCATTCCAGTAGAGAGTAAATATAGTAGGTCAATGACTTTCAGTTGATGTTAATGCACTGATCATTCCTTTCATCGAAACTCCTAACACTGTTTACCAAGTTCACGAATATAATAAATTTCTAATTTCTCTTTAACTTTAATACGAGGGTGGATTAAAAAAAGTAATGGATGTTGTGAAATATTATTACCTCAAACACTTCTAATACTATGGGCTTAAAAGTTCGGTCACTCTAATTTCACCCCCGGGGCGGTACCACTGACTGAAGTGTCTTTAGACCATTCCCAAAGGGGGGACATTTCTCGTTCTAGTGTACAGTAGAATTGTAAATGGGCTGATCCAACAATGTCATGCTCATAACCGTGCATGAACTACAACAGGAGAATGCTGCTTTTTCTTTCCTAATCCTTACTGTCGTCATTTTCCTCTACTTCTTTTGTATGTTTCTCACACTCTAGTGACCGGCTATTTCCGGGGTGCCTAGATAGTCGAAGCAGACTTTGTGCAGTTGAGGCTAGAGAGGTGAGCAGAGTAAGTGTGATTCCCTGTAAAGACATCTCTGTTGACATCCACCCCTTTGCGCTCATATGACCTTATGCAGTTGCGAGCACCGTAAAACCTCTACTAAAACTAAACTCTAATTTTTCTTTAACTTTAATACGAGGGGGGGGGAGAGAAAGAGAGAGAGAGGGTAAGAGAGAGAGAGAGAGAGAGATTGAAGGGGGGGGGGGGGTTATAAAAAGTAATGGATGTTGTGAAACATTATTATCTCAAACACTTCTAATACTAAGGACTTAAACGTTCAATCACTCGAAACATTCTCCTCAGCGTTGTATGCAGGATTCTCGTTTCCCTAGCCCCATTTGGTTGGCACCGCGGTAGTTAGCTTTTGGAACACTTCGCAGCCCTGGATTGAAAGCTCTTGCTAGGTTCTGGGTGCAAGCAAACTTTCTTCCAGCAAGCTCATCTTTCTGAATAGGAAATCACCAAAAGTTACAGGGGGAGGCAGGGGGGAGCTCTCGTGGTAGAGAGGTAACAGTGTTTGCCTCCCATTCGATAGGTCCCGGGCTCAAACCCGGATGGCGACGGAAAATCTTATTCTCTAAAATGTTCTCCTTTCACATCCTTTCCTGCTCTCAAACAATGTTCTGTTGTCTACTTTCGTCCCTACTTTCTGCCCCCAACCCCTCACCTCCTTTGCCCCTCTTCTTTGCTCCTGGCTCTTTCTGCAGCCTTTCTGCTGCTACTCCCTGGCTCCTTCTTACAGCTGTCTTTTAGCGACACCCTTGATGTTATGGTGGGTATACATCCAGTAGCATAACCACTAGGCCAAAGAGTAGACTGACCGTGCCTAGAAACATATTACTTACAAATTCCTTTTGACTTCCAAATGTTGTGTAAAGCGCATAGAGCCTGCAGTTGAGCGGGGATATGCGCTATACAAATGCTAT